CAACTTACAACACAGTGTATTGCATTTTGGAACTTAAAAAATGGAGACCAATAAACAGTGAAGAAATGAAATGCTTATTGCTCACCTTGTTGAAACTAAAGCTCGTGAGTGTTCCTGAACTAGGAAACATTTTATTTATTATCAGAAAATGTTGCTTATTTCTGCAGATAAACATACATTTATTATTGAAACTGAGTATTCCACATCTAAACTTGTTTTCTTGTGTGTTGGTTCGCTTTTATCTGGATAGTAGAAGGAGATATAGTTTTGAGTGAGTATATCCAAAATGATGGCTAAATTTACAGATATCCAGAAACACTTTCTGCTTAGAAGATTGGGAATATAAATTTCCTGTTGCAAGCAAAAAAGGAAATTCTTCCAGCCAGATTTGGGGTAGGAAATCAAGACTAAGAGGCCTCTGTAGTCATTTCCTCTGACTGAGGCAGAACCTACTTAAACTAATTACTAAAAAACTTGGGGTAACCCCACAGGTCACACACTTTGTCCAGCTCTTCCAAATGAAAAGGAAGAAGCATTTACAAGTCACAATAAGACTTGCTGACAAGCAGAGAAAAACTGGTTTCTGGCAGTTATCCAATATAATTGGCCAATTATACTGTCAGTACATGAATAAGACAGAAGGTCATGATTTATGGAAATAAACAGGATTTTCAAAGGCCCTTAATTTGCCAGACTTCAAGATAATATGCAATTTTAGAAGACTTGCTTGCTTCATTCATACAGAAACAGGAAGTAGCAACATTATCTTCAAAACAATTATTACTTCATGGATGTTGATTGCAAGGTGGGATGATAATCTGTAGATTAGCCAGACTTGTATATGCTCCTGAAATACTGGGCAGGGTGAAAAGCAAAGCAAATTGTGAAGAACTTCAAATAAGATGAATAGGCAATATAATAAATAAACTCCAAAATTTACAGGAGATTTATGTTAAAGAAGGCAAGAATCCCAACTTTATGTATAGCATACATAAATGAAGTCCAAACTCTGTGATTTCTCCAGCAAAAAAAAGGAGGTGGTGGAGTGTTGTATTCTTAAGTAAAACTTTGCAGCCACAATAAAAGGCAATTTAAGAATTACAGATTATTAAGCAATCAGCCAGGATTTGTAATAATTTTATGTAAATCTGTGGAATCCCCTTCTCTGAACAATGTGTACAATTTTGATATCCCAACTCAAAGTGGGCATTGTAGAACTTTCCATGCAAGGTTGAGACTAGCTTGTGGGTTTTAGTTAAAGAACGTCATACTGTAAGCTATTTTCTGTGAACATAGGATAGGCTTACATAATTTTGCACATTATGGGGATTTTTCTTTGTCCTAGTGCTAGGATTATTTCACAGATGATTGGCAGTAGAGTTGGGGATAGATTAGACAATTTCTTCACACTGATCACTGCCAACTTTGAATTCCGCGAGCTTCAATGGTTCTTTAAAAAGAGACAAAATGAATCCAAAGAAACTGAAAAATATTAGTAGAAATCTCGGTCCCCCTAGTTTATTTATCATGGTGAGATGGGCAGCGAACAAATTTAATAAAATAAATAAAATTATTATTAGATTTATATCCCTTTTTTACTTGTACAACTCTAGGCAGTGTACCTAATGTTTCTGTCTCCCATTTCCCCAACAATAACCGTGCGTGATGGATTGGGCTGAGTGAGGGACAGCCCTAAAACTGCTCAGTTGTCTTTCATATCCAGGGAAGGACTAGAATTCACAGTCCCCCAGTTTCTACTCCAGCACTGTAACTACTGCAATAGACTAGCTCTTATGGGCATCAATTTAGGGGCTGGAGGGGGGCAGGCCTTTTAATCTTCTAGCTACATGTGTCTAGATCAGCGGTTCTCAACCTATGGGTCGCGACCCCATTTGGGGTCGATCGACCATTTCACGGGGTCGCCAAGCAAGGCTGTCCACCATTTTTTTCCCCTTTTCCGGCGGGTGCCTTACCGCCCTTGGGCTGGGCCAGCTGGTGGTCGTCCTGCTCCGTCTCTGCCGCTTGCCAGCTACGCCTCGGCTGGCGCAGGGGGCAGAACCACGCATGCGTGGCGCTCCGGGGCAGGGAAAGTCCTCGACTTACGACCGGTTGGGTAGTCCTCGACTTACGACCAGTTTAGTCCTCGACTTACGACCAGTTTAGTCCTTGACTTACGACCGGTTTAGTCCTTGACTTATGACCGGTTTAGTCCTCGACTTACGACCGGTTGGGGGTCGCGGCATTAAAAAGGTTGAGAACCACTGGTCTAGATTGACATTGCTCTCATCTTCAGAAATGGCATTATAGTCACACCAGCTTTTACAGACCTCTCCAGTTTTTGGTAGTTGGGCAATATGGAAGTGTACTTCTGCATATCCGCCCAACATTAGGTTGGAGAAGGGTAAGCTATCATAACTTTTCTATTGCCTTCAGGTGCCTGGCACTCAAGAAGGCAAAAGGGAAAGCTTGCAGGTCCTAGCCTGCGTTCTTCTGTGCAAAGGAAATTAATGTACAATAGTTGGAACGTTCTTTGTTTTTGAAACAACTGAACTGCTGGATGGTTCTACTTTGTTTTTGAGTGTTTTTTCCAAACTTGTTTTTCTTGAAGAGATGCCATCCAACATCAATCTGTTTTTCGTTTCCCATGGAGGTATTGGCAGAATATATTTTGTGTGACTTGTCAAACAAAAGCTTTTCTCTTCCAATATAGTTCTGAATGGTCATTCTGCCTGTTTTTTTTTTCTGTAGTGCAGTTTGATTTACAGTTTGTTTTTAGAACCCTGAAGAAACACTCTTCTTCTTGGGCTATAAGCTAATATCAGCAATTTTCATATTAAGCGTCTCTTTCTTGCTCTCGTTTTCTTTTTCTTCCAAAGTATCCTTTATTCAGAATATACAGTTCCCAAGCTTATGTTTTTGGATGCCATAAGTACTCATAATATCCAAATACTTGGATATTGCTGCGAATAACATTCTTTCTGTATACTGTATATGCCTGAAATAGCAACATGACTTTTTTTTTAACACATGTATCTTTCAGATGGGAAGATTAGTTTAGATTTAGCAAAGATGTGGTAATGGAAGCAAGTTTTTAACTGTCCAATATTCCATGGGTGTTTTTTAAAATATGGATTGTCTCACTTTGAGCACGTACAGTACACGTCTCTTGCTGAATTGGGAATTTACTCTTATTCTCTTGCCTTGTGCATCAGCAGGGCCAAATTACTGCTAGAATCTCTAGACCTGTCTAAGAGCTATGCCTGGTTTTGCAGTGCAGAGATAAATATTGGTATTGGAGTATTGGAGAAATAGGGTGCTGGAGAAACTTTGGTCTTTGAACTTCTTCCCATTTGCTGAAGTGTTTTCTGACAAATGAGTTAGTGTCTCCTGAGAATCCATGTGGAATTGGTTATGGACTGTGAGTGGTTACGTTTTGTGTTGCTTATACCACTGGTTGCTGCTGTCACCTGTTTTGCTGGTATCACACCCACTTGCGTGGTCCACTGCCTTGGCATGGTTTGTTTCGTTTTCGCACCCTTTTTTATTTCATTTTTTTTTTCTTTTTGTTGGTTTCAACACCATTTATATTGTTTCTCTTTCCATCCATTACCTTCCCTCTCCACAATTATTTTCACCTGGTAGAAGTATATAAAGATGTATACAGGAGGCGTGAGCTCATTGGCTGAGCAGATAGCCAATCAGCTTCAAAGGAAAGACCAGCCTAAAACCCTTCTAGACAAAAAGGAACTGGTAAGAGAATGGCTTGCAGAAAGCAATGTGTGTTTGTGAGTGTTGTATTTTAAATTAGCTTCTCTTTCTTCATCTCATAATAAAATATCCTCTCCCCCTTGGTGCTTTATCTGAGGTAGTCAGACATCTTGTAGAGCAGTGTTTCTCAGCCTTGGCAACTTTACGATGTGTGGACTTCAACTCCCAGAATTCTCCAGCTATTGCTAGCTGGAGAATTCTGGGAGTTGAAGTCCACACATCGTAAAGTTGCCAAGGTTGAGAAACACTGTTGTAGAGATTCTCAATCATCCAAGTCACGGTTGTCCCAAAGCTGCTTTTCAAAAAGCAAATGGACTTCCTTGTTTTTTCCCCCCATTCTTTTGAAGATAGAAAAGTCCACATTCTGGACAGAGAGGACCATTGGTTTGAAAGGAGGATCAACGAGGCCATCTGTGTTAAAATTGAACAGCCCTCTCTCAATAGAGGGGGAGGCATAACTCACCACCTATCTCTTGTCTTCAACACGGTCCTTTTAGCAGTCCAAATTTGCAGTCTGATTCAGGTGACCCTGAATAAACCCCCAAGAGGTCTCAATGACTCTCAAGCGAGCTAAAGATCAGCCTTCAGAGTGCTAATGACCAGATGATTGCAGAAATACAAATCCTTTCATTCCCCTCCATTCAGTCAGAACTGAAGAAGCTTCTTGGATGAGAAGCGAAACGTCTTCAAGGGGGAAAAAAAAAAACCCAAGAAAGTCCAAGTTCAAAGAAAAACCAAGAAAGCCTTTTGAAAAGCATCTTCGAGACAGGTAGTCAGATGTACCTGTTTCTGTTCCTCATTCTTATAAAGACTCCTATGAATAAAAGATGAGTTCTTTAGGATGATATATGCGGACGCCACTTGACATCATATAGACCGGTTGACACTCTTGCCTTGATAAATGAGGAGGTTTATTACCATTGTAATTTCTATATCACAGGTATCTATTTCACAATAGCCTTACAAAGTATAATAATGATTTCCTCATTTAGAGACGGGAGGTGAAGGTTATACTTCAGGTAGTTAAGTGCTACAGGTTCTGGGTTACCTGTAGCACTTGCCAACCTTTTCTCACTGTCTCAGGAATCTTTGATTTATTTGTACGTTACTCTGTTTTGGGCATTCTCTGGAGCATCCTGTGTAGAAAATTTCAAGACAACCCAAGAGAAAATGAATGGCATCAGCGGATTGAAAACAAGCTTATAATGCTCTCCTTGCTTCTGTCGCTTTAGGGTTCATTAAAAAAAGAATTCCCCCCCAATGTTGGAGGCAGTGATGTATGCTACTTCTGCCACAAGCGGGTCTACGTGATGGAGAGGCTCAGCGCTGAAGGCAAATTCTTCCACCGCAGCTGCTTTAAATGTGAATACTGCGCCACCACACTGCGCTTGTCCTCCTATGCCTATGATTTGGTGGACGGTAAGTGAAATTGTCTTTGAAGTTGAATTTGCCTTTGTCTTCTGGGGCTGCACGTCTGCAGAAATACATCTCAGGATATGTCCTTAGAGGACAGTAAGGAGGTCATTGCACGTTGCTTAGGTCATTTTAGGATAATCTAAAAAGACTGAGGTGCAAAAACAGAACTGTGGGTAAATGGCAATATCTGAAAATTGACTGAATTAGAATTATTTTAATTAATTTGTTTGATTGATTGATATCCTGTTTCTTCAGGAGCTCAAGGTTATTTACTTGAAATCTTGTTTCCTTTTATTTCTTCCTCCCCCCCCCAAAAAAGCAGCCTTATAAAGCGGTTAAAAAAGTGTCAGAACCCAAAGTTTTCCAATGAGTCTCAAAGACTAATAGTAAAATTAGCATGGAGGTCCTTGATATTAGTCCACAACTTTAACTGGTGGACCAAGTATCGGGGCAGGTGGGGTGCGTGCCCTTCCCGTGTCAGGCCAACCCGGGGCGCCCGTGCTGGGCGGTGGCGACAGGAAGGGCACTAAGGTGGGGGAGGCCAGGCTGACGCTCCTCCGGCCAGAGCGGGGGGCCTTTGCCCTGGGGATCCGGGGAGACCACCTTCCTGGCCTGGCCTGGCCCGGCCTGGCCTGAATGAGAGGTGAGCGGGGAGGCGGCAGCCCAGGACCAAAGCAGCAGGTGGAACACTTGAGCCTCAGGGAGGGAGGGTGCTCAAGCAAGCAGGCGTCCTGCTGTCAGCGCCCATGCTGGCTGCCCCTTCCCCATGGAGCTGGAGAGCTTGCCACACCACCCTCCAGATACCCTCACTTCCCCCAGGAATTGCATGTCTTTGCTTACCTGACTTCCAGCTCCGTCCGGTTTCTCCTTCACGATCCTCCACTGCCGCATGCAGGGAAACAAAAGAGGTGGGGGGGGGAGTCAATCAATCAATCAATCCCAACTTCTTGCAAAAAAAAAAAATCTCGTGAAGTTGGAATTGATTGATTGACCTTCCCCCTCCCCCCACAAACTTTTGTTTCCCTGCATGCGGCAGCGGAGGATCGTGAAGGAGAAACAGGACGGGGCTAGAAGTCAGGTAAGCAAAGAACAAGCCGGGCAGCGGTAAGGAACTAGTATACTCTTGGCTAGCGTGGGTTAGATCCCCCCTCCTCCATCGGCTTCGCCTTGTCGCAGAGGCGCTGGCAGCTCCTCCTCCTTACCTCGTGTGTATGGTGAAATCAGACGGAATCGGTGGCCGGTCGTCTGTGCAGGCTCTTAGGTAGGGCTTACTTTCGGGGAGGGCTTACTTTCAGGGAAATACGTTATAAACTGGACCAACCTGAGGGAGACTCAAAGGTTGAAGTCTATGGAAGCTCCGTGGGGGACTTTGGGCCAGTACTTCTCTGAAGTCCAAGAACCAGCCAGGTGCTGGACTACAGTTGGGTTCTAGTCCTTCCTCAACCATAGAAGACTTTGAGCAACTCCCTCTCCCAGCAAGAGAACCAGGATGATATAATGATGAAGGTCTTGATCTAAGATGGGAACTCCCAAGTTCTAATCAACCTTCCCCATGAGAATAGCCTGGGAGACTTTGGACTTTCGCAGCTCAACCTATCTCATAGGGTTGTTGTTCTGGGAAAAATTGGAGGAGGACGAGGAGGTGATTTTATGTATATCACCTTGAGCTCTTGACAGTTCAAACCGTACACATATTAATATATAGTTTTATATTAAAGCTAGATATTAGGTTTAATATAGACCTGGATTTACTAACCTTTTGCAAAAACACCAAGTGAGACTACTCAGTTGCATTTGCAACGAACAACAATTACTCCTGTCTGTTACAGAAAGGAGGCTTTTAGTACTTTTAAATCTCAACTGCAGGTTTTCAATGGGGCTAATTCTTCCAATAGAGGAGGGATAGAACAGTGATGGCGAACCGAGTGCCCAAACCGCAACCCAAACCCACTTATTTATCGCAAAGTGCCAGGGCCGCATCAGCATTGTGGTGCCCTCGGGGGGGGGCAGGGAGGCGCTGCACCACGCAAGAATGGGCAGGGCTAGTGAGTATCACACAGGCACTAGCCCTGCCCCATTTGCAGCACGTGCATGCTTGCGGCTCCATGCATGCAGACACACATGTAAAATGCTTCCCCCTCCCTTTTCTTCCAGTCCGCCAATCGACAATGGTTGGTGACCTCTGCTCTACCACCTCTACTCGAGCTTGCTAGTCGGCCACTTTGCCTCCTTTGTGCTGGGCGGGGCTCCTGCTCCGGGCGGCAGTGGCGGCCTGATGGATCTGCTGCTGGTGGCAGCAGCGCGTGTGCCAACAGAGAGGGCTCTGAGTGCTGCCTCTGGCACGCGTGCCATAGGTTCGCCACCACTGGGATAGCATATATATGATTCAACTCCTAACTGATGTTATTGTTGTGGAAAATGTTGCTTAATATTTAGCAAGGCTGGTTATATTTTATATTTACAATTGATAATACTATTTCAGTGCTGAGACTATAGATCTTTGCAGCCACATATTGATTAGATTTCTCTTGAGAAATCCCGTAAGTTGCTAACAAAGATATTCAACGAGGAGAGGAATGGTCAGTTTCTCAACTTTTAAGATCTTTGTCTAATATCGTAACTTTCCATAAGTGTCCTCAAAGACTCTTCAGAAGGTTTAGTGCAGGGGTGTCAAACTCAATTTCACTGAGGGCTGCATCAGCATTGCGGTTGCCCTGGGGGGGCTGGGTGGGTGTGGCCAGAGTGGGTGCAGCCTACTGGGTGGGCATGAATGGAGTGGGTGTGGCTACTGGGTGGACATGGCCAGTTCTACATCATTCGCGTCAAGGGTGCCTATGGGGGCCTGGGCAGGAGTGGGACAGATCTGAGGGTCTCTGGCAGAAGGGGGTGGGACTGGGGCAAGTACCAAGGCATGGTCCACCAGGGCAAGTGCCAAGATGGCCACCATAAAATTGTACATTGGCTCCTGGCTGGCCTGGGCCAGGGCCAAGGCAGCGGGGGCCATTCCCTCACTGTTTCCAGGATGGCTTCGCGGGCCACATGAAACCACTTCGCGGGCCACATCCGGCCCCCAGGCCTTGTGTTTGAAATGTCTGGTTTAGTGGGTCATCAGAGGTTCTTGTTCCTCTGACTTCAGGAGCAGATCTGTTAGCTGTTAGAATATTTAAGACAAATATTCAAAATTTATAGTTGGAAATCACCTGCCTTGGCATGACACATTCCAACCGTTTTGCCCATTCTTCACACACACACCCAAAGTTTCCCAGAGTTCTTTGTAAGCAGTAGCCTGTTTGGAGTTAATGCCCAGCCCTTCTGTTTTTGCATTCATTTTTCTAGCAGTTTTTCTGCCAGATTTTCATGTGATGCAGCCTTTGTCCCTTAACAGTAGTGCTTTGTTTGGGATAACATACAAGTTTCCCTGGGACGCTGGGATGGCTAACTGGGTGTTGGTTAATAGATGTCAGGGGAACGTAGGAAAATAGATGGTTTTTGAAGCTGGAATGTTAAATTCAGACTTTGGGGATATAATTACATAATTGACATGACAAAGTAGAGACGACACAATTGAATTCCTGCACTGCAAGTGTTAAACAACTGTGGTGTTCGCCTATTATCTTATTGTCCTTCTTGATCCGTTTATAGGAAAATTCTACTGCAAACCTCACTACTGTTACAGGCTCTCAGGTTATGCCCAGAGGAAGAGACCAGCTGTGGGTCCATTGTCAAGGAAGGTAAGATGTGGTTTTATTTTATTTTTAATAAGAGTTGCTTCTTGGTATTAAAAAATGGCTTTGAGTTGCTTGCAAGGGGAGGGTCTCACTTAATTTTAAGCCTTGCAGAACTGAAGAGACCAGACAAGAATGTGTTGGTAGATGTAAAATTATATTTCTCTGTAGTCAAAATTGAAAATATCATACAGAACCATAAAAATACTCTTCTTTGCATTATTTCCGTCTGTTCGAGTATTTCACAAAAGGGGACTTTTTTTTCAATCAGTTGATTCAAAATCTGCAATGCTGGCTGTTAATGGGTATGTCCAAATGTTTGGGGCTATCTCTTTCATAAAGATGAGGCAAAATGGGCCACGGAAAGAAGGATTTATGGAAACTGCAAGCCAAAATATGTGGAAGACATCAGGATCTATACCCCAATCCAGAATATGAGATTAACTAGATGAGAAGAAATAAATTAAAACAGTAACGTGCTCATTTTATCTCTATAGTTGACTTTATATTCTTTCTTTGCATTTAAAACTTTACATAACATAACATCAAATGGCCAAATCCACATCTTTATAAATCCATGTTTTAGTTTGTTTACATATATAGTACACACAATATATATAACACACATAACATTATATATAACACACATATATATATAACACAATATATATAACACACACACTGTGTGTGTGTGTGTGTGTGTGTGTGTATACACCTCTGATTCAAGGGTCCCCATCTTTTTAGCCTTCTGGAAGGTGACAAAGACTTGGCTGTTTTCCCCAAAATTAGAACGGGGTTCATAATAGTGTGATTGGCTTGGCACCAGGTGAAAGGGGCTTCTTATGTTTTTTATCTTGTTTTTATTAGCTGCTATGAGCTGCCTAGGATCACTATGTGAGATAGGCAGCCATGTACATTCTTTAAATAAATAAGGAAATAAGTGATCGTGTTTACCTGTTATCCAGGGAGCATCAATGATGAAGGGAAGCATGTATTATATTAGGGGGTCCAACTTCCAGCTCACGACTGGTTTAACCCCGGACATTTTGCCAGTAGACTTTGCTAACCCATTTACCATCTGATTCACAAGCTGTTGAGGATGGGCTTTGCCAAAGGGGGAGGGAGGGAGGGAGGGAGGAAACGGACCAAATGGACTTGTATGCATTTGTAGGGTGGTGCAGCCTCTAAATAATTGGTTGCTCTTGAGTCCCTCCCCCACCACTTTGAATGTCATTCTGGTACAGTGGTTCTCAACCTGTGGGTCGGGACCCTATTTGGGGTTGATCGACCATTTCATGGGGGTTGCCAAGCAAGGCTGTCCGCCATTTTTTTTGTCCGCCATTTTTTTTTGTCCGCCATTTTCCCCCCTTTTCCAGCGGGTGCCTTACCTCCCTTGGGCTGGGCCAGCTGGTGGTCGGCCTGCTCCGTCTCTGCCGCTTGCCAGCTATGCCTCGGCCGGCGCAGGGGGCGAAACCACGCATGCTTGGCGCTCCCGGGCAGGGAAAGTCCTCGACTTACGACCGGTTTAGTCCTCGACTTACGACCGGTTGGGGTCGCGGCATTAAAAAGGTTGAGAACCACTGTTCTGGTATCTTTGGATCAAGCAGCAGCAGCAGCTTAGGATCGGTTTAGTCCTCTGGATATGCTGAAAATCAGTTACCAGTTCTGAAAAGCTGTCTTTGTTTTGCAGGAATTAAAAGTATTGTAACCAATCAAATTATGATTAAGTAAGATCTCAGCAGTTCGCCATTGCAAACAGGCTTAGCTTTTTAAGCAAAACAGTGTCCCCTCTTGTTCGTTTGCATTTGCGTCTTCCTTTACCTACATTTAAAGTTGTCTTATTTCCTTAACCTTTCTTTTCTCCAGGACAACAAAGGGACTGTACAGGACAGCATGGCGGCTGATGGTGCAGGGCGTGCCAATTCCATCTCAGCCTCATCAGAGAAGACTCCAGGTAGCTCTGCTTCCTTGTTTGGCAAGATGATGCGATACTCGCTCTGCGTCTTTGGCAGAGTTAGGGAGGCAAGCCGGCTGCTGCAGGGCACGGTTTCCTCCATTGGGTACCACCTAGCCCAAAATCCTTTGGACTCCTTTTTCATGTGCCAGCTGGTAGCTTTTGGAGTCCCCTTTCTCTATGTCCAGTCGGAGATCCTTGTGCAGATGCTGGGAGAGTTCTTATCAGCACTAGGATATTAATAACAGCATTGTAACCTTGGTTTGTTTGGGGAGAAGCTCGGGGAACCAATATGTATGTGGGGGTGGGGGGGGGAAAGGAGCAACATATCATGTAGTTTTAGAGACAAATCTCTCAAAAACGATCTTTTAAGAGTGTTGTTTTGAATCTGGTTCAGGTAAACACAGACAACCAGTTCAGCCTTTCCTTATGGTGGGTCCAGTTTTTCAAAAGAATTGATCTGTGAAATGGTAACCGATGAGTTATTTATGATGTTAGTGTTGCTTGAAATGGCTTGGAATATGGCTTCATTGATTAAATTTCTGTGTTTACCCAAACTCTGACTACTGTATCCCTGTATCCCCTGACTCTCACTAATGTGGTATCTGAATAGCAAAACATCAAAACCTCACTGATAATCCTCCATGATTTCTCTGACAGCTAAGGGGACCCCATAGCCTTTAACTCTAGCGGGATTCTGTGGTTGACAAGCTCTGATGTCCTCTGACTAAATATGGGGGATTTTCCTCATGGTGTTTCAGGGAGTCTGCTTGACCTTGAAATTGATCAAGGAAGCACTTTGTACCCAAAACATTCACGTGGCTAGGCTGCTCTTTTGGACCATTGGTAACCAAACTGGAAGGAAACCTGAAGGAAAATCAGATTGGATTTAGTTCTGGGTCTGGAAAACTATGGGCCTATTTAGTTTATGGCCAATATTTGGGAATGAAGCCATGATGGTTTGGCCTTTGAATGAATATTTAAAAGACATTAAGACTTTTTTAAATGCATGAAAAATTGTAATTGCATGACTTGAGCCTGAGGCTTTCCATTAATGTAATTGCTTAGTTGCTGAGTGAATCCCTTAAAAAGAATTTAAATCTAGTCGTTCAGATAAATATTGAAAGGGCAGGTTTAATTTAAATTTGTTATTTGATAGGACAATAGGTAATTTGCAAGTGGAACAGATTGCATATGAACCAGATTTCTAATAATGCTAGGGAGCTTCTGATTTATTTTTCTTAGTTTAATTTGAATTAATGGCTGGTGTGGATTCTTCAGAAACTACTTACCTGTTAATTCCTATTCCCTGCTGGTCAGGAAAGAAAATTGGCATCTCATATTTCATGATTGTTTGCTAGGTAGAGTGGTGTTTCAGTAGTGAGTGACAAGTATAGGAAATTAATATATGTGCTACACTAAGCAATTAGATAGTACTTTATATATTTATAGTGTGACTTCAGGGGTCAAATAGCTATTTTGTTAACATGTGTGTTTTTACATGTTTGAATTATAGAGGTAATACTATTAGCATCCTACTAAATTGATTATAGCAATAATTAAAGCATGAATTAATCCTGTGGTTTGTGGTATAAATGCTTTATGACTTGATAGTTAAAGTTATTTCAAATCATTGCATTACCAACAAAGACTCAGAGCTGAAGAAATGTTGAATTTTATCTAGGTCAGACTGGACATCTTTGGATTTTTCAGACCTAGCTTGTTTCTAAAAACAGGTCTTGCAAAGTCTTGTGCAGAATTGCTGAATTGCTACCAAGAATAAAGAGAGTAGATTCTTTTAACTGCCAATGAGAGAAACTGAAATTAAAGCAAATTGGCATTTTGAAGTGTGCAAATTATTCCCGATTTGTCCAGAAAAAGTGGCAGAGGGATTACTAATATATTAGAAATGCTGGACAAACTCTGTACCTCATACCAACCTATGTTTGTGATCAGTTGTCCATTCCAAGCTCTTGGTTCACAGTGGCCCAGGGCATGAGGGTGGTGTGCTGCTTTTGCTGTTTGCATGTTTCAAACAAATTAGCATTCAATGTTTGCTTGGTTACTATGGAATTTTAAATCTCTACTCTCCCTTGTCTGTTAGCTAACTTGGATAGCAGAGAAGAGAATGTTACTATATTCAGGCTTGTAGTTTAATAGATAAAATAGGTACTTTTCTGTAAGTTGTTAATAGTTTTCCTGGCACATGTATCCCTTCCACTTTACAGACTGTGTGATTGTCATTAGAATATAATTCTAGATCAAAGCTATCATTCACCGAAATGATAAAGAAATACATTTAGTACAGCTATTAAAGCAGGCCACATTTCCTCTTCATGGCTGCTTCTGATTTTCAAAGGCCCCTGAAATTGTTTTCCGTGAATTGCTTTTGATGTTCCTGCTATCTGGAGACATTTTTTGGAAATTGACTGTCAAAGGTTGCAGTCCTCTCTGCTGGTCCAAGAGCGATGAAAGTCAGAACTGATGCTTTTTGCACTTGAACCCCGACATACTTACTGCAGTTCTTGTATTAAACCTGTCTTTGTACTTTTTTCCCTGGGACTCTAGTGCCAAATAATCACTTTACTTTCACCTATATGATACAGTTGCTGCTGCTGCCAATTAAAGCTATGTTGGGGAAGATGATAGTCCTTGCTTTTCAGTAGTTATCTCCTGTCTTTGTATTTTTGGGATTGTTGCCTGTCTTTTGTATTTTTGGGATTGTTTTACACTGAGTGTTAATTTTTTTAATATGCATCTTTAAATATACAAATGTTATTCATTCTGTTTGTACTAAATTATGTCGATTGTCCCAAGTCTAGTTCAAACTTTCCACGCTGGTGTCTTCTATCTTGGAGAACAGAGATCTCCAAACTTGGCAACTTTAAGACTTGTGGACTTCAACTCCCAGAATTCCCCAGCCAGCAATTGAAGTCCCCAAGTCTTAAAGTTGCCAAGTTTGGAGATCAGGGTTGTAAAACTGCCAGTCAATATGGCCAGTGATGAATCATGATCCAGCACATCTGGAGAACATCAGATTGAGGGAAGCATATTTCAGGAGCATGGAACAGTCTCATAGATGTAATGAAACTATGGCAATTTTCTTTTCATGAAAAACCTGAATTGTTACATGCACAATCCAGGATATCTCCCGTGATTAAAAAAAAACACATACAAGAACATTTACATTATTGTTTTAAACAAATATTCTTGTTTCTGAGACGGAAGTTCAGTAGGTTGATTCCCTTTGGATTAAGAAGTTAAGATACTGTTCAACTAATTAATTTTTCTCAGACTGGTGTTCCCAAGGTTAATTAAACCACCATCTCTTTTTGTTTCCAAGTACTTCAGTTATTAGTTATTCTGGCTGGTGATGATGGAAGGTATAATTCAGTAGTCTAGAGAGCACTAGTAGAGAAGGCTACCCAACACACTGGCCAAGATACTTGGGTTACTAGGAAATTAATGTTTACATTCATGGATTAAGATCTGGATATATATTTAATCACATAATGAGGGCAATGTTCTAAGTAGAGATTTCATAAAGCTGCATACAGACTGCATATTGGGGTAGGGGTGGTGTCTCTGCTTCTTGATATTCTTGAATGAGATTTGATTGGATTCCTAATGGTGGTTAGGCATTTGCTGAAGGATAGAAAAGGAATAGAATGCTTGAATGGTTGAAAGGATTCTAGTTTTAGCTGTCTATTGTAGAACAAAACTCCACATAATTTTCCAAAATTATCAGAGATGGTTCCTAAACTCACATGGTTTAAACTAATCAAATTTAGTTTCTACAAATTGATTAATCCAGTGCATACACTTAGAATTGAGGGTTTCTGTTGAGAGGCAATTAAGAATTGTTGATAATTAAGTGGCATATACGTTTAATAAATTATTAGATTCATAGTGTACGACTGGTGGAAATTAATCATTCAAGTCCTAACCAAGGAGCTAAGAATTACTAAGAGAGCATCTAAGAATAAAGGCAAGTCCAAGTAGGGTGGGGTTTTTTTTTGCAAAATTGGGATGGTCAGAACTGATAAATTCAATATTTCCACATATCAAAAAAATCCTTTCGGTATCCCTCTGAGAGCACCAATCAATTATTATCATTAATTTAGCTCACTGCTAAAATTTGATAATGGTATTTTATAGCAATATAGCTGTAATAAGGAATCAATGACACATGTTCCATGCACTATATGCACACATAGAGTAAATGATCTTTAAAAATTGTATCCCTTTCTTAAAGGCAAGAGGTCTTGATTTAAAACTAATTTTTTGTTGTTTTTCTTTACTACTATACATGATTTTTGTGTGCAGATCGTTCAATATACCAAACTTGGATTTGGTTAATTTAAGCTTTTCACCAAGGATTAAATGACTGTGTTTGTTAATTAAAATATATATTCTTATTATACCTGGCCAAGGCACTGCATATAAGAAAATTTCAGCTCTATCATGAAAAAGTAGATTTTTACGATCTCCACTGTTGCTTTACAGTATCTGTCAAACTGCTAAATTAATCCTTCCAAAAGTGTTTCCCTTATATAGCAAATTACTTTGGAAACCCTATAAGTCGCCAAAATGTATACTGTGAACTCCAAACATACAAGACTTATTATTTTCCTCGACAACTGGATAAAATAGTGATAGTCAAACTATTATGTTAGATTAAGTGACATGTCAAAGATGGAAACAGGCCAATCACATCCAAGAGATTTTGGATCATTTGGTATAACAAAGCAGCCATTCAGGGTTTGCTACTTTGCATCTTATCTGTGTTTGTTTGCAATGAGACCCTAAGTTAGACTTCCATAAACTGTTTTTCCTCCAGATGTGTAAACCTCAGTGCCCAGAATTATTAGCAATAGACATGTTGTCTGGACAACTTGGAAGTCCTCATATTTAGAGAGCACGCAGTGTGGAAAAGACTGCCATTGTACAAATAGTACCCTAGAACACTGCCTATTTTACGTAGGGTACACACCTTTAAC